TAATACTGGCATTTATAAGATATATCATCCGAGCCTGTGTGAAAGCAAGTGTCATGGCACATTTGCATACTAGGTTAACTTTCATATTCACCATATAAAATCATTTTTATCACGTTTACATTTCAAGAAATCTATGGCTTTTCATGTCCTTGATTAAAACAGAATATTGATTGTTCATAGAAATCAATGCTCAAGTCATCCAGGTTTGATTGTATTGCCGAGACAGTCTATTATGTCGCAGGTAGAGTGTTGTCATTGCTTTGGAAGTATTTTACTTTCAAGTCTCGTGCACATGTGCAGTCTGGGCAGAGCTTTATGAGGTGAAGTCAAGTGGGGTTGATTGCGTCCTGTTCAAGATTATGCAGTTATATAGTGACGTACAAACAAATGTGTCCTCAACTGCTTTTACTAGTAGGCGACTATGCTTGTCGTAAGAGGCGACTAATGGGATCGGGTGGTCAGGGTCGCTGACTTGGTTGATGCATGTCATCAATCCCAATGGTGTGGATCGATGCTCATGATGTCAATCACTGGACTGTCTGGTCCAAATTCTCATTTTTACCAACCGCTGTCAAAGAGCTGGAATATTGCTGAGTGTGGCGTTAAACAACAAACAAACAAACAAAGCTTGTTAGACCGGATTTATGCCAGTTTTATAGTGCAAGCCCACTGAGATACTGCAGTGATGACATGGATGCTCCACTCAGACACATTATTCCGACTCAGAGCCAACCAGTCCTTGTTTTATCTTCTCAAAGTGCAAGTAACCATAGCAACTTTGTAGATTTTAATACTTTCGGGCATACTTAATCACAAACGGAAACACCATACAAAACAGACGACAAAAACCAACAGGTGAAATTCTGCCCCAAATGAAAAATTCTGACAATAAGGGGAATCCCCTAACTGGAGGTTAAAACAGGTTCCTGGTGATTAATGCTGCGTAATTTCAACAATCATGACAATCTGGCCATTACCCAGTCTGCCTGCTTCTGCCTTGCATTTTTTAATACATAACATGCTGCTCATGAAAGCTCATGTTAACTTGTTTTCCTTACCACTACACAATTTTGGGTTGGGAGTTTCTCATGCTTATCTATGACATTGCATGCTGCAAAGTTTGCCAAGATATTGTTCGCCTTGCATCAGCAACCAACTGTTAAACTAGTTGGAATCAGCATCCAACTGTTATGAAACAATGATGTCATTTTGTGTAGTTTAGTTCAATAAATATTACTGCGCCCGAACCAGAGTAAATGTAAACTTAAATTTTTTTAATCTATTTATCTAGTCATCAATGTTTAGAAATGGTATATTTGGCACGATTGTTTTGTTTTTTGGTCCTGGGCAGTATGGACCAGTGAAAAAAATTGTTAGTTACAGATAAAATGGATAGAATTATCATTAAACTGCCCGCATGTTATCAGAAATGAGCGGGCCACTGTGTCTAGATAATGCCAACTCAATTGTGATGTTATCTGGTTTGTTCGGTGACATTTCCGTGTTTGTAAACGTGGGTCAGTGACACTGATTGTGTGTTGATTGCAGTAAATGTTTCAAAACCGATATTGTTGTATATTTTTTTATAACAATTCCTATCTATTTTTGCTATAATAATGGCAACGCTATTTTTCAGGGCATTATCATTTGCAGAAGCCCTCGCCCTTTTCAACTGCCCCCCTTCGTCGGGCAATTAATGGAAGACCTCAGACTTCTGCAAATGATTATGGCCTGAAAAAAAGCGTTACCCTTATATGGATAAAATTTGGCTCAAATTCTGCAACAAATGTCATGAAATATTCCCAAACTGGAATTTCCAAATACATGTTGTTACGTTTACAACCAATGTTATAGCCTTGTACAGTAGCTGGTATTACACTAGTAACAGAACAAGTACAGAGGGACAGACTTTAATGTTTTGTTTAACATCATTGAATGCAATTTCCAAATTCAGTGTTAAAAATACCTATGAATTAAGAGTGAGTGAGTGAGTGAGTGAGTTGGGTTTAACGCCGCTTTTAACATTATTCCAGTTATATCACGGTGTGTCAGCTTAATGTGGGAGGAAAGCCCAAAGTGATGCAGGTCTCAGACGTTTACCACTTCGGTGAAACACACGAGCACGGGTATGGTGCTGACAAACCTAGAAACATGATCGGGGCGGACCGGGATTCGAACCCACAACCGTGCCCCCTATGAATTTAGAAGTAAGAACATTTTTAAAAATCCCAGTTTTGAACTAACAATGGTTTTTCCTAATTTATTTTTAATTTTATTTTTTTGTACAAGTAATTACTTTTGATGAGTGAGTGAGTGAGTGAGTATGGTTTTACGCCGCTTTTAGCAATATTCCAGCAATATCACGGCGGGGGACACCAGAAATGGGCTTCACACATTGTACCCATGTCGGGAATCGAACCCGGGTCTTCGGCGTGACGAGCGAATACTTTTGATGAAATAAAAATGGTTTGCATATCCCATCATATCACTGATTTATATCCCATGATCTTGTTTCTTAAAAGAAATATTTTCAAATTTTTGTTTTCATTCCAAAACAAGTTTAGAGAAGAATTTGAATGTTAACATACCAACGGAAGGTATGCCATATGATCAGCCTTCTGCGTTAAACCCTGACAATATTTCTCTGTTGGCAAAAACCCCATAGGCCATTGAAAACAATGCATATCAGAACTTGATCCTTCAACTTTGAGGGTAACATTTCAGCGAGTGACCCCCATTTCCTGGCGTACGACGAGTACTTGAAACACACTGGCAGCTTAAGTCAACTACAGCACCCCCTAATCTCAACCGTCAACGAGAGTCCATTGTAACCTCTCAAGTAACAAAAAAGTCATAACTTATTTTGTCAGAATTTGGTTGGCAGGTGAGGTGGCGGACGTGTCGAAACATTTCCATGTTTGCTTTTCCCATTTAGCCATCTAAAACTACTGAGAGAATCTCACCCGAGAGTCTTTTGATATCTAATATATCAACATAAGTAAATAAAAGTTTAAATTTCCAAGGCTTACTGAGGATTTTAAACTTTTTATCAATGAGTGTTTTACATCAAAAGACCCGAGAGTGAGATTCTATTTATAATTCAAATTCATTTTTTTAAAACTTTTGCAGTTTGTAAACCTGTGCCTTGAGTGTAAAAAGTACACCTAACCAACTTCAGCGGGTTTGTTTGTTTGTTGTTTTACGTCGCACTCAGCAATATTCCAGCTATATGACGGCGGTCTGTAAATAATCAAGTCTGGGCCAGACAATCCAGTGATTAACATCATGAGCATTGATCCACGCAATTGGAATACGATGACAGGCACCATCCAAATCACCGAGCCTGACCACCCGATCCCGTTAGTCGCCTCTTACAAGCATATTTGGGTTGCTGAAGACCTATTCTACCACGGATAATCATGTGGGGAGAAAAGCATGGATTGCTGAAGACCCATTCTACCCCGGATCTTCACGTGGGGAGACAAACATGGGTTGCTGAAGACCTATTCTACCCCGGATCTTCACGTGGGGAGACAAGCATGGATTGCTGAAGACCTATTCTACCCGGGATCTTCCCGGGGGGAGACAAGCATGGATTGCTGAAGACCTATTCTACCCCGGATCTTCCCGGGGGGAGACAAGCATGGGTTGCTGAAGACCTATTCTACCCCAGATCTTCCCAGGGGGGAGACAAGCTCGGGTTGCTGAAGACCTATTCTACCCCGGATCTTCCCGGGGGGAGACAAACATGGATTGCTGAAGACCTATTCTACCCGGATCTTCACTGGGGGAGACAAGCATGGATTGCTGAAGACCTATTCTACCCTAGATCTTCCCGGGGGGAGACAAGCATGGATTGCTGAAGACCTATTCTATCCCGGATTTTCCCGGGGGGAGACAAGCATGGATTGCTAAAGACCTATTCTACAACGGATCTTCCAGGGGGGAGACAAGCATGGATTGCTGAATACCTATTCTACCCTGGATCTTCACTGGGGGAGACAAGCATGGGTTGCTGAAGACCTGTTCTACCCTGGATCTTCACAAGGGGAGACAAGCATGGGTTGCAGAAGACCTTTTCTACCCAGGATCTTCACTGGAGGAGACAAGCATGATTTGCTGAAGACCTTTTCTACCCAGGATCTTCACTGGAGGAGACAAGCATGATTTGCTGAAGACCTATTCTACTCTGGATCTTCCCAGGGGGAGACAAGCATGGGTTGCTGAAGACCTATTCTACTCCGGATCTTCCCGGGGTGAGACAAGCATGGGTTGCTGAAGACCTATTCTACCCTGGATCTTCCCAGGGGGGAGACAAGCATTGGTTGCTGAAGACCTATTCTACCCCGGATCTTCCCAGGGGGGAGACAAGCATGAGTAGCTGAAGACTTATTCTACCCGGATCTTCCCGGGGGGAGGCAAGCATGGGTTGCTGAAGACCTATTCTACCCCAGATCTTCATGGGGGGAGACAAGCATGGGTTGCTGAAGACCTTTTCTACCCCGGATCTTCCCGGGGGGAGACAAGCATGGGTTGCTGAAGACATATTCTACCCAGGATCTTCATGGGGGACAAGCATGGGTTGCTGAAGACCTATTCTACCCCAGATATTCATGGGGACAAGCATGGGTTGCTGAAGACCTATTCTACCCCAGATTTTCATGGGGACAAGCATGGGTTGCTGAAGACCTATTCTACCCTGGATCTTCACGGGGGGAGACATGCATGGATTGCTGAAGACCTATTCTACTCCAGATCTTCACGGGGGGAGACAAGCATGGGTTGCTGAAGACCTATTCTACCCCAGATCTTCACTGGGGGAGACAAGCATGAGTTGCTGAAGACCTATTCTACCCCAGATCTTCACTGGGGGAGACAAGCATGGGTTGCTGAAGACCTATTCTACCCCGGATCTTCATGGGGGACAAGCATGGGTTGCTGAAGACCTATTTACCCCAGATCTTCCTGGGATGCACAGCAGGTGCGAGAGGGGGACTCACCTGCAGTTTCTTCAGCTTCAGATGCAGGTGCATGTACGTGGGCGGGGCCTTCGTGTCCACCATGGGAGCAGCATCCTTCACCTGAAACAAAAACAAATGTCAAAACTCCTGAAAACAGACGTGTAACAAACTGTCTTCATTCCGACACCAAACAGGACTACAGCAGGCCATGAGTATTTACTCACATGTTATCATTCACATTGGGTATGCGTAGTTACCTTTGGGTTTCAATAATTTTTACTCGCTTGGGTCCGGTCTATGGGCTTTTGCAAATCGATTTTGTTGACATGTAAAAAAGAAGTTCTACTTCAATGTTTATTCCAGTAACTTCTACTTGGCATGTGTCCGTGTGTTGCCAAGTGAGTGAGTGAGTTTAGTTTAACGCTGTTACACTGGTAACAGAGCAAGTATAGAGGGACAGACTTTAATGTTTTGTTTAACATCATTGAATGCAATTTCCAAATTCAGTGTTAAAAATACCTATGAATTTAGAGTGAGTGAGTGAGTGAGTGAGTGAGTTTGGGTTTAATGCCGCTTTTAACATTATTCCAGTTATATCGCGGCATGTCAGCTTAATGTGGGAGGAAAGCCCGAAGTGATGCAGGTCTCAGACGTTTACCACTTCGGTGAAACCCACGAGCACGGGTATGGTGCTGACAAACCTAGAAACATAATCAGGGAGAACCAGGATTCGAACTCACAATCATAGGTTTCTGGCGTGTCCAAGGGACGCAACTCTGCACAGAGAATCGCGGCGCCTTAGACGACTGGGCCACCCGTGCCCCCGTGTTGCCAAGTGTCAGGACCAACAGCACAACAGTAACACATGGCACAACATTTACTCACATAAGTAATTTTACACATGTGTATATGTAAACTTAATATAAATTCACATGAAGACACACATATTCATCAGTATTTTCACGACATTCAACACAAAAAGGCTGATTTCCACAAAAGTCAAATGAGAAGAGAGTAACGTCAAAGAAATCTTCACATGAAGCAAAATGTGTTTGATTTAATCTGTACATAAGATTTTCACTCCTGGAAACCCAAAGGAAACACTGTCCACCCTGCTCTGAACGTCCGCATAAAAGTTGATAATGCTGTGTACTGAACAGCGTCAACTTCAGAATACACAAGTGTGACCGATTTGTGTGGTGTTGGCAAACCAACAGATATATTAATTAGATCATCCTCTGGTATTGGCGGAAACCTTCCCATGACAATATAAATATCCAGCGCAAATTTGCACTTGCTTAAATTTACATTTGCACCAGCTCCTGACATAGAGCAAATATGCTCCTGGTGTAAATATACATACATGAGTAAACGCGTTCGCATAACAAGTTTTCTTACGTATGTATATTAACAAATGTGTGCAAATATACATGCATTTTTATAGAAGTGCAGGTGAACGGGGTACAAGTGACAATAAGCGGGATGCTGCACATCAGAACACAGAACACCACTCCAATCAACACTACATTGCAACAATCAAATGACACTAGCAACGGTATAGACCCCCCTAAATGACTTACAAGCCTTTAAAGCACTAGGCATATATCTAATCAAAACACGCCCACTTGGCCGCATTTAAAAATAAAAGTACAACAAGCAAACTGCCAATAAACCCTAAAACCTATAAAAACACAACAACTCAATCCCCACCCCCCTTTTTGCATGGCATATTTTAAAATTCCAAATTTGTTCTTCATATTAAATAAGCAACCCTAAAGAGCCCCACCTAGGTTGCCTCACCTTTTCGGACATACCCTTTTCAACCAAACACCAAATGGCCTGGCGGGCCCGTGGGCGAAATACGCATATGTCGGAAAGCGCACGTTAAATTCCTAATTTAAGTAAGTAAGTAAGTAATGCTGCACATATGTGCATTATCACTGAAGTAGAGTTCAAGTAATCAGTAAGAAAAGATCAGTGAAGATCCATGTCAACAAGTGAGTGAGTGAGTGAGTGAGTGAGTGAGTGAGAGTGAGAGTGAGTGAGTGACAGTAAAAATATCCCAATAGGAATTTAAAAAATAACTTTTTCATGTAAATGAGTTTGCCTGCCTTGGTCACCAAGTTTGGAATCCTAAATAAATCCCCGAGGTATTAATGTCAAGTATTCTGAAAAACTAAACTTGGCACTGATGTAGGGATTCCCGAGGTTAGAACAGGTCCCCAGGAACCTCTGCATGTCTACGAGGCAGGGTTTCCGATTGGTTCGTTTTCTATGATTTTGTCGGACTCATTGAGTGAGTGAGTATGGTTTTAAACTGCTTTTAGCAATATTGCAGCGGGGGACACCAGAAATGGGCTTCACACATTGTACCCATGTCGGGAATTGAACCTGAGTCTTTGGTGTGACAAGCGAACGCTTTAACAACCAGGCTACCCCTCCGCCCATTTCCACAAGATGAAAAAGCTACAATGGGTAATATGCTGTAAGCTTTTATCGATATCTATTGACTTTCTTCATGCATATTTGTATGCAAGTACTATGTCACACAAAATTAATTGGGTAATAGTGATTTTCTTTTATCTGGAGCTCTGCTACTGAGAGTCATGTAACAATTGATATCAGTGGCTTAAAGAACCAGCTAGCTGCTATCTGTCGGAGACAGCCTGTTTCTGAACCTTCTTAGGTCACCTACTAAATATTGAATGCCCAATGCAGGGTTTTACGCCATGCACAAATGTGCATCCAGTATGCGCAAACATAGCAAATGGATGCAGAAAAAAAGGGAGGCACAATAATATTAGTTATGGTGTCTTTAGTTGCCGTATTAGTTGCCGTATTAGGTGTCGTATTAGGCAAGCAGGAAAATATTTTGGTATCTTTGTTGAATATGTCATGTCATGTCAAAATGAAAACTTCTCACATCTGGTATAAACGACAGGACCAGTACATATGTTTCCGATAAAAGGCTTTAATATAAACATAAATGTTAACAATGGAATATATTATGCACTCAATGTGAACGTTTAGTATCTTAGCTCAAATGGATAGAATTATCATAGGTGATGTCAAATGGCGTCACGTTTCTAGTTTGTGACGTCATCCTGTATTATGTTCCATGAGGTTGCTATTTGTAACTTACTGACCTCCGTTGTAACCTTTTTTTTCTCTCCAATGTTTATAAATAAAGTCACGAACATGGTTTCTTTAATAAATAATGTCTTTGCTATCAAAATTAATGATATTAAAACACAACAGGGTCGTATAACAAATTTCTGTACCAGAATTTTCATGTGAAATATGTGAGGTGGGTGTTGGAAAATCCAAAATGGCTGTTTAACTGACGGTATACGGTCTCATATTAGGTCAGTAACAACCATCTTGCATTTTTACTGATGGTATATCGGGTCATGTGGGCTCAGTAGTTCTGCTCTCTGATTGGTCAATCTCACTTTGAGACATAATAATATTCATAGTACCTACAGCTCATCAAGAGCAGTTATGGATGCCATCTATCAATCAGGACCACTGTCCACGATCTTTGATTCATTCCAGGCTGTAAGTAATGTACAGTACACTACACCATTTCTTTACTTTACCACTGTTTAAAAAACCCTTAAATTAATTACCGTATTCGACGTAATAAGCGCCCAGGGCGCTCTCAAAATGAGAGTAGGGGGCTCTTATTACAATATAATTTTGGGGGAAAAAAACAGAGTTGAAAGATAAATATCATGGTTATGCTGACAGCCTGAAATGTTTATGTACGACAGATATATTTTTTCCAGAATTCTATTGCCCATAATTAAGGGTGCATATAGCACACAAGTGCGTATTACAAGCGAATAAATTTGTCTTGTGTACATTGCTCAATCTGAAGGGGTGCTAATTGGGATTGTTCACCAGCCAATATATCAGCAAATGTCGCTGTGGGCGCTTATTAGAGCGGGGCGCTTATTACGTCGAATACGGTATTGGTATTATTAAGGTAAAACCCTGCCATTGGTCAGCCTATTTCTCTCCCTCGGTAGATAAACTACTAAATATTGATAACCCATCGGTCATCCTGTTTTCTTGTTGTGTGTGACATATTGTCCACATTTTTACAAACTGTACAAAGTGGCCATATTCATATCAGAGCTACAGATAAGCAACGTATTTGCATAAAATACACCCGAACATATTCAAAACACAATTACTTTCAATTAACATGCGGACAGAAACGCATGCATTAAATGAAAAACTCAAATGTATAAAAACACTATGCGTAAATACCCAATGTAACGTTTTCAGCATGTGTACAAAGGAGCTAATTTCCGAAACACAATTGTGAGCTAATTTACTTTCCGAGTCAAGCCTACATAGAACAGTTATATACAACTCAAACATTATTTCATTTTTTTTTAAATCTTAAAATGTTCACTAATTTGGGGAAAAACCAATAGAGTGATGAATAGATGAGTGAAAAAATATTGAATACCCAATGAAAAATGTAACAACCCAATTAAAGTCGAAAGGCTAGAGTAAAAACTCAATTGCTCAATTGTTATCTGGAACTCCCTGCACGGAATCATACTACACACAGTAAATAACTCTGGCGTCATGTGTGAGTTTGTTACCGATTATTTCTAATAATAATAATAATAATAATGTGCACTTTTAATGCGCTAGCCTCCATGTAGCAGTTCATGCTCAAAGCGCTACATTTTTACCCCGGTCAATGGATCAGTGAGCACTCGATTTTCATCCTCAGCTCCCTGGGGAGTATACAACCAAAAGCTGCCCATGGGGCGCTAGAAGGTTAACAGCCTCATTACCATCTCATCCTACCGGGTACCCACTCACTGCTGGGTGAACAGAGGCACAATTCGAACAAAGTCACTTGCCTAAGGAGACGCCACACGTGGTACATGTGCTTCAGTGTGGGGCAGGACCGAAGCCCTAGAAACTCTCAGGAGTCAGGCTACTGAACGTGATCACCCATCCAAGGACTCTCTGAGGCTGACGTTGCTTAACTTTACCTGATTTGTGATCTGTGCGCTGTGGTGCGCTACTTTCTGGTGCAGCATTAATACTGGTCAACAGAAGCATCTAGATTGGGATGGGTGGTCACAAGGTGGCCACGGAACAGTGAGTGAGTGAGTATGGTTTTACGCTGCTTTTAGCAATATTCCAGTAATATCATGGCGGGGGACACCAGAAATGGGCTTCACACATTGTACCCATGTCAGGAATCGAACCCGGGTCTTCGGCTTGAAGAGCGAACGCATTAACCACTAGGCTACCCGCTCCCCCATGGAACAATACTCATGACATCAACCACTGGTTTGCCTGGCCCAAGGATATTGATTTGTAATATTTGAAAATATTCTGAATTTGGAACTTAATTTTATGGATGACTGATAGCTTTAAAAAAATAAAGTGATATTAAAATCTCAAATGAATGTGATGTGACCTACAGAACTCACTTTAACCAGTACCGAGGGAGGTGAAAGGCGCTTTAATTCCCTAACTATATATGTTTGTTTTTCAATAGTTATTGGACTTTCTTATCACCAGCCACTGATCAGTTAGAAACGGTTCCTTTTTCACTCTTGATGTCAGCTGTTCCAAAGTCAAAGATTTGCTTGTTGAGATTACCGACTATTTGTTCAGAGACCTAGTGAAGTATTTACAGCATTAATAAAGGCTTTCTTTTCAATTGTTTTAGATCCCAGAGAGGATAAAAGCCATGTGTGTTCTGAAGTTAGGCCAAAGGAAAATGATACCCATGTTTCAGGTACACTTAATTTGTACTGCTGCGCTAACCAGGTTGTTGTGGTGTATGTTATTACTACCAATTATGATAGAGTTACCTCCCCCTTATGCTCTCGGGGCCGGAGAGGTCAGCTTCAATAAGCTCACATGGCTTCGAACCCACCGTCCCTGGGAACACTAGAAATGGGCTTCACACATTGTACCCATGTGACAAGCGAACGCTTTAACCACAAGGCTAACCCACCGTCCCTGGGAACACTAGAAATGGGCTTCACACATTGTACCCATGTGACAAGCGAACGCTTTAACCATGAGGCTAACCCACCGTCCCTGGGAACACTAGAAATGGGCTTCACACATTGTACCCATGTGACAAGCGAACGCTTTAACCATGAGGCTAACCCACCGTCCCTGGGAACACTAGAAATGGGCTTCACATATTGTACCCATGTGACAAGCGAACGCTTTAACCATGAGGCTAACCCACTGTCCCTGGGAACACTAGAAATGGGCTTCACATATTGTACCCATGTGACAAGCGAACGCTTTAACCACAAGGCTAACCCACCGTCCCTGGGAACACTAGAAATGGGCTTCACATATTGTACCCATGTGACAAGCGAACGCTTTAACCATGAGGCTAACCCACCGTCCCTGGGAACACTAGAAATGGGCTTCACACATTGTACCCATGTGACAAGCGAACGCTTTAACCATGAGGCTAACCCACTGTCCCTGGGAACACTAGAAATGGGCTTCACACATTGTACCCATGTGACAAGCGAATGCTTTAACCACAAGGCTAACCCACCGTCCCTGGGAACACTAGAAATGGGCTTCACACATTGTACCCATGTGACAAGCGAACGCTTTAACCATGAGGCTAACCCACCGTCCCTGGGAACACTAGAAATGGGCTTCACACATTGTACCCATGTGACAAGCGAACGCTTTAACCATGAGGCTAACCCACCGTCCCTGGGAACACCAGAAATGGGCTTCACATATTGTACCCATGTGACAAGCGAACGCTTTAACCACAAGGCTAACCCACCACCCCTGGGAACACTAGAAATGGGCTTCACACATTGTACCCATGTGACAAGCGAACACTTTAACCACAAGGCTAACCCACTGTCCCTGGGAACACTAGAAATGGGCTTCACACATTGTACCCATGTGACAAGCGAACGCTTTAACCACAAGGCTAACCCACCACCCCTGGGATCACCAGAAATGGGCTTCACACATTGTACCCATGTGACAAGCGAACGCTTTAACCATGAGGCTAACCCACTGTCCCTGGGAACACCAGAAATGGGCTTCACACATTGTACCTATGTGACAAGCGAACGCTTTAACCACAAGGCTAACCCACCGTCCCTGGGATCACCAGAAATGGGCTTCACACATTGTACCCATGTGACAAGCGAACGCTTTAACCACAAGGCTAACCCACCACCCCTGTATACATGCAGACATTAATTCACAACAGTAATCTCACTAAAGAGGCACATAATGGTTTTATGCTGTCATGACTACTGGCTGGTGATTTTTCTTAAATACATACAACATAATGCAAATCTGACTGCTGCTGAGTTGAATAAATTTCATCAAATTCATTGCACTGTTTTAGTTTCATAACCTTCTTCAGGTCAGATTCAGAGAGCTGAAAGTCGGTGGTTCCATCCCTGTCATATGAAGGATGTTTGTCATTGTTATCCTGACTGGTGATAGTCATAAATGGGATGAAATTAGGTTGACTTTACTTGCCCTGTGATGAGAGTTAGTGAGTGAGTGAGTGAGTTGGGTTTAACACCGCTTTTAACAGTATTCCAGTTATATCTTGGCGTGTCAGCTTAATGTGGGAGGAAAGCCCGAAGTGATGCAGGTCTCGGACGTTTACCACTTCAGTGAAACCCATGAGGACAGATATGGTACTGACAAACCTAGAAACATAATCGGGGCGAACCGGGATTCGAACCCACAATCATAGGTTTCTGGCATGCCCAAGGGACGCAACTCTGCACAGCAAATCGCGGCGCCTTAGACGTCAGGGCCACCCGTGCCCCCCCCACCCCCGTGAGGAGATGAAACAAGACTGGTGAGCTCCAAGTCGGTATACTGTCTGAGTGGGGTGGGTGTCATTTTGAGCTGGGACGGGTACCCGGGTTGGGTGGGTACTAAGTAGGACCCCAGTACCCAGAGGACTACCCGGACCCATGGTTAGTCATGTGATATATTGTTTCATGACAAAAATTCACTATAACTACATGGTTACACAACAAGTCACTATTGTTCGTATTTCTTCATGACTATGAACGCATTCCTTCTGACTTATATATGTTTGAATAAAGATAAAACTTCAGTCAACTTCAGTGTATGCATGACCAGATCGTTTTATATGGGTAAATAAATACATTTTGCAAGGTCTTCTGTCAAACTATTCCCTATCGGACATTTTGTACCTATCTCTTGAGACCAACAGTTGGTACCGGGTAGGGTCGGGTAATAGGGGTGTGGGTACCTGGTAGTTAATTTGGACTTGTCCCAGCACTAGTGTCATTGTAAACTGTGGAATGGTATCTTTCTTCAAATCTGACATAGAAGGGAGGGATGATTTCTTAATGTCTTTAATAGGTTACAAATCCATGAAAGTAAACATGATTCTTATATACGTGACATCTTTAGCCTACACCCTCTGCTTGAAATATGAAGAGACGGGTTGCCATAGTGACCAGGCCTAGTTCTGGTACTATACAAACTGTATGCGGTGAGTTAGACTAACATATAGTCTATGAAATCATTTATTAAACAATACATTTCTCTCCTCTAAAATTAAAGCAAATAATCCTCCTGATGCTGTGGAATAGAGCTGGCTAGACTTGTTTCTTATTTAAATCTAGATTTTGTTTTCATTATTTATATATATTCCATAGTCAAGGTGTAGGACTAGCTGTGAGTGAGTAGAGTTGGATTCTGGTTTAAAACATTAGATTTGAGAAATTCACTTCACTATGCATTAAAATGTAAACAAATTCAGAGCAGGTCAATTTTCGGGGTGGGCGGGTCATAAAAGGAAACAAGTAATGTATTCTAACAGGCCTTAGCATACTACAACACATTGTAACACACTGAAACATTTGTGTTTACAAAAACTTTGCATTTGGATCAATGGTAGAACTGTCTCGCATAACACAACACTAAACACAAAACTACACATGTTGATATGACTGTTATACCACCTCTCTGAATCTGGTTGTGCATTATCGATACAAATATATATACAAATCAAACATTTCTACCACATAATAAATCATATATAGATTTATGAATTCAAACAAAACCGATCAACACATTTACAAAGCGTTCATGTTCTTGAATAAGGTCATAAATTCTCTTCCCACTTAATTCCGTAAAGACCAGTAGCTGTAAATCTTTGTATTGTAAACTGTTATCGTTAAACAAGTGGTCTAGATCGTTCACCCACCTTTCGTCTGTGTTCGTTGTAATAGGTAGAGTCCCAGCGTTGCTGTAATAATTTGTTGGACGTGGGTAGTATAGTTGTGTACGACCTATGCATCCTGACGTCTTCTCTATGTTACAATATTCCGATATACAGACAGACAACACCCTTACCCTTCTCAACACACGTTGTAATCAAGTGCCATATATCCGCTACTTGCTAGGTTGCTGGTCACGTGATCAAACCTTGTCGTCCTAGCAACACCAACCGGAAGTACACAAATGGCGCGGGCACCTGCTGTGATAATAGTTTTATTAACGAGAAGAATTGGGTGCAATAAACTCGTCCTCCGCTTGATTACAAAGCAAACTTTCCGAGTAGAGGATCGATTTATATCAAATAAAACTAGTTCTGCTCCCTCGACTGACTAATTTAACCTACATTGATATATCTACCTTTGCATGGGGCCTGAAACGTTTAGCAGACGCTGTTTTGTAATTCACCCGCTTAAAGGCAACCAGAGACCTCAGGGCAGTGTATTAGATAGATATCCATTATCATGTTAATAGATCGAATTTGCTCATCGTGCCTTGTAACATGCGATTAGTATAATACACATTAATCAAGGCATCAAAAGGTTTAATGACCGAACGAATTAAATTTTGCAATAATTATTTCTTTTTTTCGACTGAAGTAATAGACGCTAACTTGACTCGCCATTTAAAGTTTCCATGGATTAAAGAACAGACATTAACAGAAAGAATAAAACCATTTTTTTTTGTTTCGTGCTTTAATTTCAGGTGAGTGAGTATGGTTTTACGCCGCTTTTAGCAATATTCCAGCAATATCACGGCGGGGGACACCAGAAATGGGCTTCACACATTGTACCCATGTCGGGAATCGAACCCGGAATTTCGGCGTGACGAGCGAACGCTTAAACCACTAGGCCACCCGACCGCCCTTTTAATTTCAGGTTAACCATTCACCTTCTGTTTCGTGTGTATGTTTCGTGTGTCTTCTTTCTCGTGTATATTTTTCTCGAGTTTTATAGACGAAAACGTGTTTCTCGTGCTTTTTCACATGTATGTGTATTATTTACAGTGTCGAATAAATTGAAATCGATTTTCTTATAAATTGTTTACCATGGAATAATAACATATTTGTGAGTACTTAACATTTTAGTCATAGTCTCGTTAAAACTTGCCACTGAAATTCAAGTAGGTAGGGGCATGGGGTAGCCCAGCTGTTAAAGCGTTCGCTCGTCACGCTAAAGACCCGGTTTGATTTCTTACGTGGGTACAATGCGTGAAGCCCATTTCTGGTGTTCCCCGCCGTGATATTGCTAGAATATTGCGGCGTAAAACCATCTTCACTCACTCAAGTAGGCAATTTAAGGCTTTGCCAAGGACATGTATACGACGGGAGTATAGAGAGAACCGGACCCCGTTCAACAAGGCGACCTTAGCGTTAGAGAAACTGTACTGAATAGAATCATTGGCATTTCTTTTCAGAACATCGGCAGTATGTATGAGCAGCAAATAGTTGGTGAAGCAAATAAAATATGAACCGATGTCTTGTATGTTTTAGATTCGGAGTATCAACTTCTTCCTTCTGACTGCCGATTACGATTGCCGATGTTAAGAACAAACAGGGCCCGGAGTTCATTCATACCAGCTAGCACCACGTTTTATAACAAGTTTCGTGATAGATTATTGTTTATTTATTACCTCGTGCCACATTTAATGCTAATTACGTTTGTGATGTTCTTGTTTATTTGTATGTGTGTTCATAAAAAAACAGACCTTTTACTGATGTAACCCAAGTTTCCTTCGGGATAATAAAGTGTTATCTTATCTTATTTCTAAACTCTCATACTTTATTGATTGATAGTTTGTTGTTTAACGCCGCACTCAGCAATATTCCAACTATATGACGCGGTCTGTAAATAATCGAGTCTGGTCCAGACAATCCAGTGATTGACATCATGAGCATCGATCCACGCAATTGGGATACGATGACATGCATCAACCAAGTCAGCGAGCCTGACCACCTGATCCCGTTAGTCGCCTCGTACGACGAGCATAGTCGTCTTTTGTGGCAAGCATGGGTTGCTGAAGACCTATTCTACCCCGGATCTTCACGGTTCTCCCATAATTTAACATAGGCATACGACAGTCGTAGCCCTAAGATAGCTTTGTCTAAATAACCCCGAGACAATGGTAAGTATGAATTATTTGGAGTAATTGAACTGTACGAACAGGAGTATTATTGTCATCTTCTGTCCGCATCACAGGACTAGATGTGTGAAGCTTGTTATTGACACAACACAACCAATGACTCGCAGCAGAGGCGGCGGAGATGTTGCAGGGGTTAGGACGCAGCATAGCAACGGCGATGTTGTCGGGGGCGTAGCTAGGGGAAGGAAAAATGTAAGCAATCACATTGCAGCACTTATTTTTCTTAAACACCCTTAACGCTTATCAGGCACAAACACAAGCAGACCAAAGCAACATGTACACGAGTATCTAAAACAAATATCACGACATATCCTTACCACGTTCTGTACATCATACATTTTAAACATAAAACAGTTTGATTATTGTGATCAAATTGAGATATCCTCATGAAATGTAAATTGTAAATGCAAGAGAATAACCACTCTAGATTATCCCCATCGAACCCGAGGGAAAAATAGTTGTGAAAATCAAATGAATGGACCAGTTATGACACCAGGCCCCGGGATCATGAAACTAACCTAAGACCATATTTTGTCTTAACTCTCAAGATTTAGACTTAAGACCAAATTTTGTCTTAAATCCGAGATCACGAAGCTCAATCTATGAGAATATCTTAAGTCTAAGACAAAATTTGATCTTAAGTCATAAGACTGCCAGGTGTTGGCGAAAATGGTAAAGAAAGTGTATCACGCAAACAACAACATCGAACAACAACAACAACAACAACAACATCGAACCTGTAAATAAAAAAACGACTGAAAAAGGAACACACTAAAGTATTTTCTAAAATTATTTTTAAAATTTTATTTTTGTAACGATTTCAAAGTGTAAGCACTTGCTTTTTGTACTACGTGGTAGCTACGCCGCTGTTTGTAGGAGTACCGACTGACACCACACTGTAAGCAAGGCCGTCGGTAGACACAGAAGCTAACGGGTCACTGACGTCTCAACGGCCTTTGTTTAATGGAGGACAAGCACGAACGGGTGGCTCAGTGTTGCATGCGTTAGCTCGTCACGCTGAGCGTTGTTGCTGGAGTGAGCGAGTGAGTGAGTTGGGTTTAACGCCGCTTTTAACAGTATTCAAGTTATATCACGGCGTGTCAGCTTAATGTGGGAGGAAAGCCCGAAGTGATGCAGGTCTCCACTTCGGTGAAACCCACGAGCACGGGTATGGTGCTGACAAACCTAGAAACATAATCGGGCCGAACCGGGATTCGAACCCGCGATCATAGGTTTCTGACGTGCCCAAGGGAAGCAACTCTGCACAGCGAATCGCGGCGCCTTAGACGTCAGGGCCACCCGTGCGCCAATCCCCCCCCCCCGACGGAAACATAGATCGATGCTTTTCCTTGACCTCCATGAGTTCAGAATTTGGATCCACTGGAATACCTTAAATCATGTTGTAGGTGTTCAAAAGATGTATATTCTGAACAAATTTCTTGTCTTGTTGGAGAAAATTTGTCTCCAATGTTGTTTTTATTGTTTCTAAATGATTTGGAACCATTTTTATAGTCTCAAAACTGCCCTTACATTTTTATCCTGTCTAAGTCACTTAACGGGATATAGTTTTTAATTGGTTAAGACAAAAAGTTGTTCTTCCTAATGTCCTTAAATCTGTCATATAGATTATCTGACATATATGGAATCTGTCATATAGATTATCTGACATATATGGAATCTGTCATATAGATTATCTGACATATATGGAATCTGTCATATAGATTATCTGACATATATGGAATCTGTCATATAGATTATCTGACATATATGGAATCTGTCATATAGATTATCTGACATATATGGAATCTGTCATATAGATTATCTGACATATATGGAATCTGTCATATAGATTATCTGACATATATTGAATCTGTCATATAGATTATCTGACATATATGGAATCTGTCATATAGATTATCTGACATATATGGAATACTGTAAGGGACATTCTCGCGATCTCGCATTCTCGGTATCTCGACCTTTGGAAACGAGCTAAATATGCCCCAAACTTGCACTCTCGTGTTTTTGGTACATAGCACGTTTTGACAACGCGAGAATGCGACATTTGGACATGATGTAAAATCTTGCAGTCTCGCAAACTCGACTTGTCAAATTGGCCACAAAAATGCGACATTTCATTTTCTCGCGTTTTAGACACTGCCAGTGCGCATGCGTAATATCATAAGGTCAAGGTGCATGCGCACGTTAGTAGTCCATTGGTCATGCTTCTTTCATGCTCTTCATTCTCCAAGTAGCATTTAGCAAACTTAAGACTTGATCTAGATGTAAGACACGGTTTCTCTATATGATTCGTATTCCTCATTTACACTGTTCACGTCATTCAGTTAATAATATAGGGTGTCAGATTTTTGTTTGTTTAGATTGTCGTTTAACACCGCACTCAGCAATATTCCAGCTGTATGACGGCGGTCTGTAAATAATAGTCTGGACCAGACAATCCAGTGATTATTATCATGAGCATTGCTGTCGTCGTATGGTTTCTCAGTGCCAAGGGTATCAAGCGAAATATTAAACCTAGAATAGTGAATAACTTGAAATTGGACAAGAAGTTTAACATAAGCCACCGGTATAGCACTTATCCGCATTCGTTTAATAACGGCAGAGACCATATAACTTTGTCTGGCGGGGGATAAAAAACAAAACTACGTCTGCGTTGTTTGTAAACAAACATGGCTGACCATTTGACACCTGTCAAAGTAAATGACCTCGTTAAATTGGACGGAGATCTGACAGGAAGGGTTATTCGGACAATTCAACCTCTGAACACATTTAATGTATTTGTTGTCAAAACTGCATGTGGCCAGATGGAAGTTCCAAGATTCAGATTGCGAGTTTTGCAAGAGACTGTTTCTTGTGCGCAAAAGTCAACCCCACCAAGTCCGGGGTTGCCAGCGTCTGTGCTAGAGGACTTGCTGTTTGACGACCCCCATGAATCCAAACACCGGACTGAATGCAGACAGGTTTGCATTTGTGAACGATGATGACATCG